TACACATCATTCATGTTTCGTATATCAATTGCAGCGCTCATGTTAATTCAATTCTTTTTACTATTTTCTTACATGAAAACACGCGTTACCACAATAACAACTATTGTTAATAGCCAACCAGCATGGATATCATCATATTCCACTCAGAAAACAGATACATCTAATCAAGGTTTTGGTTGGAAAGTAGTTGGACACACATATGATGAGCAAGTTCGTCTTCGAGACATGGCTACTATGATTGCTGCCTGGCCTAAAGCTGTTGATGACACCGTGCCCACGGTGCCATGTCTATCAGCTGATGGTCATTTGCTTGTACTAAGTGCTAGTGCAAGTCGTATACGGTATGGTGTAAGCGTAACTTTCATAATGGTTCATCCTAATGATGTGACAGCCGTCTTACCGAAAACGAATTCAGCACAGCCGATCTCTCCTTATCAATTGAGTTTGTGGTGTATTTTTGATGATGGATCAGTGACACCGGCATATAGTTACGATTTGCATTATGTCACTGAACGTGTATCTCTTCTCGACTGTTCACTCAGTTCGTTTGCTATTGACCAATTGTGGAAATATAATCGAACATTGCGAGTACATCTCGCTTCGACAACAGACAAAGATCGAAATGCACCCATCCTGAAAGCATTTATTCATACTTCAACGCCTTCATTATATCCATCGAATTCTAGCCAGGAAACATTAACATTATGTACTTCACCACTACACAATGGAGAAGAATATTTAACTCAATGGATAGAATTCCATCGGCTGGTTGGTTTTCGAAAGTTCATCGTTTACAACACAACCGATACCCATCAACACTTGTCATCTGTTGTCAACACTATCAACAGAAAATATCCGAATCTAGTTGACGTTGTTCAATGGAATTTCTCACCTCTTGCCTTAACCGACAGGTCATCGTCACGATATTTTCAGATGGAAGCTTTGCATGATTGTCTAATTCGCTATGGTGATCAATCAGAATGGTTAGGTGCGCTTGATCTCGATGAATATATTGTACCACTTGATCCATATCAAACTGTGCTTGACTATTTGTATGACAACTTTGGTCGACGTATTGTTGGATCAATCAATCTGAGGAGTCATTTCTTCTGCTCGAAAGAGGCTGATAGGTACACACCTGAAGAGAAGAACACAAGTCGTTTAGTTATAGAGCGGTTTATTCTTCGCGCACGTAATCGTTATGAAAAGGGGCGTGAAAAGTACCTTTATCGACCACGCTTTGTTCAGTATTTATCTATTCATCGTCAACTCATTGGACTTTCAATGGAAGAACCCTCGCGAAATCACACACTGTTGGCTCACTATGTGTCGATGACTAATCCGCGGAAATTTCCAGGCTGTAGTAGTAATGAACAATATGTGACAGATACAAGCATTCGAGACCGATTCGTGAAAAAGGTCCAGGATGGAATAAAAACTTTGATAATTTAACCATTTGTTTGTGATAGAAACGACTAGTAGTTTTTGTGCAAATGTTTAGTATTTCAAGACTCTACAAAGGCTTATCTCAT